AGGAATGCCCACACCCTGAGCCTTCCTGAGCCGGTGGACAGACGTGTCCAAGATAGGGATGCTGCCAGCCGGCCGGGAAGGGAGGCTTGCCAGCATCTTACACCAAGTTATGATCGCTCGTTCTAACAAGAAATACAAATACAATCTGAGAGGAACGCCAGTCTCATGCTTGGAGGGACAGAGACCCCACCAGCTCAGGAATGTTCTGGGGAGTTAACCAAGGACGGGAGAGCATGGGAGCCGCCTGCCTGACCGCCAACTGCTCTTCCAGAACCACAGCCTCAGAGAGGCTCAGGAGTTTGTCCCATTATCCAGCTAATTAGTGGTGAGGCTGAGATTTGAGTTCATGTTTGACTTAACACTATGCCATTCAAAAGACACGTGTCCAGGAATACTGATGCTCGCAGGAAGCTGGCAATTCCCAGGTACCACAGTGATTCACTTATGCCATGTCTGGGGTCGGGAAGGACTCAGCCAAATTTGTAATTTGGTTATTGCAAATTACATCCTAAAGGCATTTTGCCGTGGTTCCCTCCCCCGTCCCCAGCCCCTCTTTCTTGGTTAACTTGGGTAATGAGAAGCTCCTGCCCACTCCATCTCCCGAGAACCGTCCCGCCCCCCAGCACCAGGCACCAGAAGCAGAGGTGGCCTCCAGATAGGACGACAGGATGTGGCAGGGAGCCTGCTTCCTGCCCTCCTCCCCCACGCCATCATTTCCCCGCCGCTTCCTCCCAGCTGTCCAAGGGCATCCATTACCCCTGCCTGCTTCCTGCCAGGCTGCACTGAAGGGCACAGCAACCCAAACTTCCCCAACTCAGCCCCTCGGAGCTTGTCCAGCGGGCAGCCTCTCCCCCATCCCCGGCAGCCGGAGGACCCAGCTCTGCATCTTTGCTCAGGGAGCCTCCCATCTCCACTGGCCGCTGCAGTGGGAGCAGGTCCGAGGGGTAACCTGGGAGAAGGCAGAGGAACCATGGAGTCGTCTCCATGTCACCCCCATACCACTCTGCCCCTGCAGAAGCTGCATGGCTACATGGGAGGGTCTCGGGACCAGGAGTCACAGGCCAATTCTGGACCAGGAGTGGCCACCAGTCGGCTCTGTGACCTTGGGGAATCTCTGTGATCTCTGAGGCTCAAAGTTCTCATCTATAAGGAGGAGGATGGACCAGACCAGGGAGTTTAACCTGGGGTCCACAGAGCCTGAGGATATCCCAAGATGGATCGGGGGCAGGGGGTCTGGAGCTCTGGGAAGCAGTGAGCAGAATCTTGGGCGTAGGTAGACACATTTTTTTCCTGAGAGTGGAACTTTATCAGGCTCTCAAAGGTAGTCTAAGAAATCACTTTGGAGGCCTGTTCCAACTCCTGAGGATGACCCAGCTGGTCCCGGGCACAGGAAGGTCTCTTTTAAATTCCTCCCTCTCCTTCTCTACCCATCCCCCCAAAACATTTCTAAAGAGCAGGATTCTTGCCCCATTTTCTTCAGCAGCCTCACTCTGGGAGGTTCCCCAAAGGGGAAATGACCCAAAGGAGGGCACAGGGAGGGGACATCAGTCAAAGAGCTGGCCCGCATCCTGCTTGGCTGCCATGCAATAATCCAGGTGGGACAGCCCGAGAGTCAAAGTAGACCAGGTGTGTGAGCATCTGCAGGGGCCAGCCCCACGCACCCCACCTGCCCGGCGCCATGCAGATGCAAAGCTGACTTGGCCAAGACCCTGCCTCAAGGACCTGCCACCTAGAAGGAAGAGGAAACACATCTGCAGAAAACAGTTAACAGTGGAGGGGCCGTAGCAGATGCAACGTGGGACTGGGGCCCAAGGGAAGGAGACTCATCCCGTTAGGGACCAAGAAGGCCTTACTGAAGAGAGTGCTTTGAAGGAAGGAGAGGAGTTGGTGGGGTGGACCAGAGCAGCGGTCCCCAACGTTTTTGGCACCAGGGACCAGTTTCCTGGAAGACAATTATTCCACGGACCCGGGGGCTAGGGGTAGGGGGATGCTCCAGGCGGTAATGCGAGCGATGGCGAGTGGCAGATGAAGCTTCACTAGCTCGCCACTCACCTCCTGCTGTGCGGCCTGGCTCCTAACATGCCTGGGGGTTGGGGACCCCTGGACCAGAGGATGACGGGAACACTATTTCAGGCCACGTGGATCCAGAGGGACTGTAGGTATATGCTCCAGCTCAACAGACAGCAGAGTCCACTGGAGGGCAGAGGGCACTGAGGTTGGGATCTGGCAGAGGATGGGGTGGTAAAGAGGGAAGGGGGTGGGCATACCAGGCTGAAAGACAAGGTGCCAGAGGACCAAGGAGAGAAAATAGGATTACGATGACCCTGCTACAGGGATGGGGTTGGCAAGACAAAACAGCGGACATCTGAGGGAGCTGCTGAGGGTCTCCAGGCCCTGCCCTTCTCACCCCACCCCAGGCCCTAGAAGGGAAACGGGATTCAAGTCAGATACACACAGTGAGACCAGTAAGGTCTTAGTTTGCTGAGGACGCCCCACCCCAAGCCGCACACCTCCTGGCTATTCCTCAGTTTTGTGAGCTCCTAAATACCCCAAGGGTCAAGAGCATCCCTTCCAAAGGCAAAACCCGGGCTTCAGGCCATGCTCCCAGTCTCTGGGGTTGGCAGCTCAGGGTCATGGGCTCAAGTGGAACGTTATGCGTTCGAACCAAGGACGGAAAGGACTGGCTGGAAGAACCTTCATCCAGATCATCCAGTCAATGCAGGGAAACAGGGTCTGGGCATGGACACATGGCCTGAGGTGCATCTCAATCCAGCTCCCCTAACAGTTAGAAATAAGGGTGGCAGGATAACTCGTCACAGTAATTGATGTTTGTTCTTCCATTACTTTTTCCTTCCTGACTTCAAGGAAGTGGCAAGACTTTGTGCTTTCTTGCTCTTGCTGAGAAACAGGTACTGTTTGAAGACTGTTCAAAAGAGAAAAGCTCCTAAGGGGGCGGCGCTGTATGAGGAGTGTGAGGAGGGAGGGGCTGGAGGACAGAAAAGGAAGGATCACCCCAGATGTGGGAGCAGGGGGACCCCCACATCCTGGAGGAGAGCCAAGGTCTCAGGAGGGACGGCTGTGGGGCCTTCCTGGGAAGGTTGAGCCTTGGGGAGCAGGATTCTCAGGCTTGGAGATGATCTGATAGCCAAGCCTGGCGTGAGGAAGGTGGTCACGTGTCTTGATCGTGTGGCCTTGGGCAACAGGCATTTCGGAGGTGAATGGGGCAGATCAAGGGCTGAAGGGACCTCCCGTGATGTTTATCTGCCATAACTCCCCAGGATCTTTGCCCCACGGTTCTGTGGCAGTTGAAGAAGTGGAGAGAACCCCATTAATGCCTGAGATTGAATTTCCCTGGCATCCTAGCAGGTTGGAGTCTCAGAGCCAGTTTTCATTTGGTTTAAAGGATTAACAAAATGACATTTCTTGACCTTCCCATGATGTGGTTGTAAACACTTCACCACAGTGGGGAAAAGTGCACTTTGGGATTTTTAAATGCCTTCATTTTCTTAAGAAAAGAATTAGAATAAAAATGTTGATTCCTTTCGTATAACTGAGGACAAAGAATCTTGCATAGTCAGTAAACAGTATTCTTGGACCTAGAGCTGCTGTGCTTATATAGATGATGTGCTATGAAGGCCTTCCTTTGAGCTGACAAACTAAATAAAAGGCTTAGCTCCTCAAATTAAACAAGGTAAAACAAGGTAGCAGTGTACCTGTACCCTCTTCAATGGTAGACTTTCATTCCTTTACAGTGATTTCTTTCTATATTCGATGCAAATATGTAAGGACTTTTATAACACTGTGTAAGACAGAAAAATTTGCAATGTCATCTTTACTTCTAGGTTTAAGAGCATTACTTGGAGCCATGAAACGTTTTTCTAGAAGACGGTGTTAGTTGATGAAATACTTGCCTGTTACTTTTCACTTAAAGTGTAAATGACATCACCAATGTGATTTTTTTTCTTTTTCACTCCTCTGTGCTCCAAAATGCCCAAACAAAGCCCGAATAGTGTTTATCTCTCTCGTGTAAAATTTGAATGGGTCTAATTGTGGATAAATTAGAAATATATTGAAATGCTTCAGGCATTTTCCAACTCAGAACACAAGGCATGCCTCTGCTGACATCTCCCTGTGCTCTCTGGGAGGCTGGCCAGGAGGGCAACAGTGTGGATCAGGTGAAGCAGTGTAGCTCTTACCTGCAGATGGGGGACCCGGGGGGCCTGGGGTGCCCGGACGGCCAGGTTGACCAGAAGGCCCAGGTTTGCCTGGTGGGCCCATAACTCCACTATCTCCCTTCTGCCCCTGACAGAGAGAAAGGCAGAGCCCATTATAAGAGCAGGACATGGCAAACCTCCTCCCCCATTCATCTCTAAATTAGGGACCACCTTACACTTTGGAGCAAGTGCCAGGGGGAGGATGCAGTCCCAGAGGTCCCAGAGGGACCAGCAAGCTCCTAAAAACCTCAGGGCAAATGACATTTGAGACAGTGATGGATGCATGTTTATAGACATGACTTTTTTTTAAAAAAATTGAAGTATAGTTGATTTACAATATTGTGTTATTTTCAGGTGTACATCGTAGTGATTTGGTGGGGTTTTTTTGGATATTATATTCCATTATAGGTCATTACAAAATATTGAGTATAGCTCCCTGTGCTACATGGTAAATCCTTGCTGCTTATCTATTTTATGTATAGTAGTGTGTATCTGTTAATCCCATATCCCTAATATGCCCCTCCCCCATCCCTCTCCCCTCGGGTAACAGTAAATTTGTTTTCTACAGACATCACTTCTTGCTCTGTCCTAGACACATAGGAACCAATCCAAACCACACTCCTCACTGGGCAGGTGGGGAAAGAAAGGCTCAGGAAAGAGCAGGGATTCAGGCCAGTCACCTGGCATCAGGCCTGCCTGCTCATCAGGACAATTTCTGTCTCAGCACAAGAGCTGTTCCCGCCCCGTGGCCTCCCGATGCTCTCAGGATAAAGACCCAGCTCCTTACTGGAGCCTCCAAAGCCCTGCACGGCCAGGCTTTCCACGCGTGTCCCAGCCTTTTGGCGTTTTTGGTCTTCAACAGCACCATGCCTTTTCTTTCCCTTCTCCAGACTCTTCTCTCGGCCCCGAACCCCTCTTCCCACCCTTCTACCTAGCTAACTCCCTCCCATCCTTCAGCTCCCAGCTAAAATACACTTGCGGCAAAGCCTTCCTTGACCTTGCCTGACCAAGTCAGTTCTCCCTGTCATAGGCCCTTTTCCTTCATGGCCTTTATCCCTGATCAAAACTACCATTGTTCATGTGGTCATTTCCTCTGTGTCTCTCCAGGAGACAGAAGCTCCCTGCGGGCCAGAATCTGTTTTGTTCACCTCCTTTCCCCAGACCAAATGGGGAAGGAGGAGAAGCTGAACACACAAAGCGGATGTAGTTTGTTGGCTCTAGGACGAGAGATCTACGTTTTCATCTTGGCCATGAGACCCTGGGTAACTCACGTTGTTGCCCTGTGCCTCAGTTTTCTCATCTGTGAAATGGGGCCAGGCAATATACACCTGCACAGGCTTGCTGTGAGGCTAACAGAGATCTCAAACGTGAAAAAGTGGTTTGCACAGAATCAAGGGCTTTGTGGGCCAAGCTGATTATCATAGCAACTGGCTTGGTTTCATCTTTTTCCCACAGTTAGAAAAGTCCTGATTCTTAACGAAAGGCACACCTGCAGGTATAGTCTTTCCACACAGCATGTCCTCTTTGCTGTCTGCTCTGGGAGGGTTAAGAGCACACATCTCCCCCCAGAGCTGCCCTTAGGAATGACCCCAGAAACCAAGGCTGGCACACCTGTAGATCCTTCCCCCAAGCCATTTGCTAACTGTCCACTCGTGCCCGGGGCCCGAACAGGATGGTGACTGGTGCCTGATGGCTTTGTCCTTGTCCTCTTCATACCCTTGTGCTGTGGCTACCTCGCCCACCTAATGAAAAGTAACCTTCCCCAAGCCTGGGGAACAGGCAGGCCGGGCACACCTTTCACCACCATGTGATGTGTGACCTGCCGCCTTGTCAACATGGCCCTGGGGGCGCTCTCGGCAATGTCCAAGGAGTTCTTAAACACTTAATGCGGGATCGTGAGGTCAGAGTTTGTCTCCAGTTCCACCCTCACGGAGGGAGTCTTAAGCCTTGCCTTAGCATTCCGTGGGGCAACCAAGATGGGTCCCAGATGGCAAAGGAAGTCACACCATCTTAATATAGCCACAGCAAAGGCTTGTTCTTCTAAGAGCCACATCAGCTGGCTCTGAGCACAGGAAGTGCCACAGCTTGAAGGAGCTGGGAATGCTCCTTGTTCTGACCTCAGCAGTAATCAGATATTCTGCTGCTCAGTCATCTATTCAGAACAGCCTTGTCCCTGTGAGCGGGACTCACTGAGCGCTTTCCAGGAAAAGCGTTCTTTATTCCTTTACTGCCACCAAGTCTGCTGATTCCCGTCAAGGATGTTGTGTCTCCGTGACTGAAGATCTGTGTGATGAAGTCAAGAGCTGCTGTCCTGGGTCTGCCCGGAGGCCAGGCCTGAAGCAGGAGGCTGATGTGAAGATTGCTGTGGAGAAGCTGGTCTCAGATCTCCAGGTTCTAACCCTGCTTGGAAGCTGGCTTGGCTGGGGGTCCTGGGTGGTCAGGCCACTTCCCTGGCCCCTGGTTTTCTGATGACTACATGCAGGGAATTGGGTTGGTGGTCACTAAAGTCCTTCTGGATCTGCAGTTCTTACTCCTGGATCCCCTTCCAGATTTCTGATTCCAGGATTTGGGTTGACTTTCCACAACCTCCATAGACTCTTAGCACCATGGCTCAACAAACACTCTGTATGTAAGACTCTACTAGGCAATTAATTCATGACAAAAAGAAAGTATCATGGCCCGCTCCCAAGGCTGACGAGTCCAGTCTCGGCTGGAGCACACTCGGGTGTCTGTAACGTCTCTGGAGGAGGATGAGCTCATTTCCCTAATTTCTCTGAGCTCCCAGATGTGTTTCTGGTGTTGTTTTTAAGATTGCTCCGACGGAATCATTCTCAACAGCGTCAAGAAAGAGACTTCTTGGCTTCGTCCCTAACCAGGACAAGACAAACACTGCCCAAGGAAAGAACTAGATGACAGAAGCCAACCGGCTTCTCGAACCCCAAGCATAACACATTCTGGATGGAATGCAGCAGTAGTGGAGAAAACGATTTTTTTGAAAAGATTTTTCCATTTTTCTTCTTTTTCTGAGCCTAGTTTTTAGAAAATTAGTATCTGTGGCATTATTGTGAAGCCACCCATGGCCATGCCACCAACTGTAAATCTTTAAAAATTAAACTGGAACATTGTGACTTCAAAAGTCATCATGGGGGCTTCCCTGGTGGCGCAGTGGTTGAGAGTCCGCCTGCAGATGCAGGGGACACGAGTTTGTGGCCTGGTCCGGGAGGATCCCACATGCCGCGGAGCGGCTGGGCCCGTGAGCCATGGCCGCTGAGCCTGCGCGTCCGGAGCCTGTGCTCCGCAACGGGAGAGGCCACAACAGTGCGAGGCCCGTGTACCGCAAAAAAAAAAAAAAAAAAAAGTCATCATGGAAGCTGATTCATCAGGTTGGAGTCTACGTCTTTCCTAAGTTCATTTCGAAAAGACCAGAATTGGCTTTGTAGTGTTACTGTGGTTCTGAATCCCGGTGCACATTAGACTCATGTGGGGCTTTAAAAACAACAACAATCCATGCTGCAGCCCCAGGTGTATCAGAGTCTTTGGGAAGTAAGGTCTCGACATTGGGGAAGAGGAGAGGCACACTTGGGACCACCACCAGTGCACCAGGGGCAGGGAATCTGTATTTAATCGGCCCCCAAGATGATTCTGATGGAAGCCAGAGTCTGAAAGCCACAGATCTAGCCTAAGGAAAGAATGGAGATGTGCCCAAACACGTTCACTTCTCAGCATTATTTATAATTTGGTTAGGCTTCTCTTGTCTAAGCTATCTACTCTGGTTACTTATTTACCAAAATCGATGCAGAGATTTAAAAAAATGTTTAAGAGTAAGAGTGCTTAATGAATGCAGTGACAAGTTAAAATGTGTGTGTTGTGATTTTTAAGTTAAAAATTTAGGATACAATAAGTATATATCAGATATAAAAGGAACAAATGACTAGAAAGTCCACGGAAGCAATAATACTGGAAGGAAGTGTACATACATGGTAACATGGTTGTACCTGGGTGTTAGGTCTTTAGATGATTTCCTTCCTAGTTTTCTGAATTTTCTGTTTTCTGTGATGATCATATATTTCATGTATAATGGGAAAGGAGGTAAAAAGCCAACAGACTGGCAAACAAAAGAGTAGGGGGCACACACGTCTCATTCGAGCAAAAGGGAGAGGTTTTCTGAGGCCCTGGGGACAGCTCACATCACATGGTTTGACACAAGAGCCTGCTGACCAGGGGAATTCAGAATGAAAACTTTCCCTAAACCCTGAATAGTGCCAATAAAGGGGTCATTTACAAATGGGGATCTTGAGTGAGGAGAAAGCACCCTATTGTTGAGACCCAGCAGATCCTTGAACAGCAGGGAAATATCTGGGCTGATTCCAGAACTCCATATGCGTCTGGGGCACTGAGGCAAAAAGCAGGTTTTCTGGGCGAATGAGCAGACCTGATTTCCACTCCCAGTTGCCTTGGATAAGACAGACCTGTTCTTATGAACCGAAGACCCACTCCTGCCTCTAGCCTTGACACAGCTGGACGGGCATCCTACCCCATCCGCCTCTCACTCCCGCCTCGGTGGAGAGCCCAGGCACCACAGAGGGGTGCTGCTACTGCCCCCCAGCCCAGAGGATGCTGGAGACTGTGTCCCCGCAATGTCCCTGACCTGCCCGCCCTGCCCTGCCCACCTCTCTACACCCGCACCCCAGCTCAGGAGGTCCGGTGAGCCCTGGGATCCATACCTGCTTGCCTCGTTTTCCTGGTCTTCCTGTGGGCCCCCGGTGGCCTGATATCCCGGGCTCGCCCTTTGGTCCCATTTCACCCTGGAAAGAAGAAAGAGAAGCAAGAGAGGAACGAGGGCACAAGGAGCAAGCTCAGCTCCAGGTCGATCCAATCTCCGGCCACGGGGCCTCTCTTTGCTCACTCCCAGTCTTTTCTAGGCGGGCTGCTCTGGGAGGTTGGGAGAGCAATGAGGTTGTGTGAAGGGAGAGAGGTTTTTCAAGGAAGAGGACGGGAAGGAGAATGTTGCCGTGGGTGGGGAGGTTACTATCTGAGAGAGACAGCTGCCGGGCAGCACACATTTTGGTTCCTAAATCCCCATCCAGAGAGGCTAGGGTGGGAGGCGCCTGCATTTCAGTCCCCTGTGCCTGGAACACCGATGGGGGAAATGCCTTCTCTCTTAGTTGAAATTTTATGCTGTGCTTTGCTTTGTTTTTAGCACAAATTCAGATCTATGGGTTTTTGAATGATTGGACACAGTTTTGACAACTATCATCTTTGGGATGTTTCTGCTCACATTATATAATTCCCCACTCTTCAGTAAAAAATTGGTTTGAGTTCCACCTCACTCCCATTTGATTCAGATAAAAACTCTTAGTGGGAGAGATGCTCCAGACACATGTTCACATACTCAATCTAGTTATTGTAAAAGGCACGGAAAGCAGCGTAAGCAACAGTCCTAATTGAAAAGCTCTATTTGGAACCATCGGAAGCACACGTACCAACTGCAGAGTTCCAGAGTTTAAGGCCAGCCTTTTGTAAAACCCAGGATTCCAGGCCCACTGGTGGCTTCTTCGGCTCATGAACCCACCCCACAGGGCATCCTTCCTACCCCCAGTAACCCCTCCATAGCCCAGAAGGCACCACACTAGCTAAGCTTAGCAACAGCAACCACGGGAGTTTCTGTTAGGCCACAGCTGGTGCCCGTGAAGAGCTGACCCGGACACTCAGACGAGGATAAACACCCGGACGACTTTTCCCAGGGAGGCCAGAGGAGGTACAACACAATGGAAAATTCCAGGGAACACCAATACACAGTAAGGACCAAGCATAAAGCTCTGAAATTACCCGTTGGCTCAGCCAGTATAATGAATTTGTCAAGCTACCAACATTTTGCCTCACCGAGAATTGTCCCTAAACCTACGATTTCTTTCCCGTCCGTCACGTCCTTCGGCCTGCTAGGATAGGGTGGATTCTCTGTGGCCATGGAGATGTTTGCATAATTTTCCTTGGCTGTTTAGAGGGGGCTGAGAGGTATCTTATTTGGCTGGGAGAAAACAGCAGCATAAACAGCATAGTTTTTTGGAAAAGATCGTCTGAAGAAAGTGTGGTCCTTGTCTTCACCAGCTGGAAGCAGCCAGTAATGTCTTGATCTAATTTCTCTCCAAAGACCTAATTATGGTCATCACATCAGCTCTGTCTTAAACAGGCTGCCCTGGGAGGGAGAGAGAACTCTGTATGGCAAGTCTAGTAAATGGTGCAGAGACCAGAGAAGCTGTCATACTTAATTTTACAGGAATGTATGTCCACTGTTGCACTGAATGAAAACCTAGACTAAGTATTTTAAAATAAAATTGTCTCTCTCAATGTTTCCTTTCAGTTGCTTATATAATTAATCTATTTATTTTTAACCCAACACTCTATGTAGGTAGCAGAGACAGAGTTTTTGACAGCTTTAGGCAGTGATAAATTACAATCATGTCGGATGATTGAAATTATTTAAATATGATCTACTGACAAGAGAAAGTCAGATAAAAATTGTTCATTCAAGTTTAGAAAATAAAATTTTAAGGCGAACTTGAAAACAATTTAGAGTTCTAAGCAAGCATCCTGTTTGCCTGTTTGAAGAATATCATGCTCTGAGGCTTAGGCAAAAATTAGTTTCCAATGTCAGTGCCTTACAGCATGAGGAACCACCATTGTGATGGTGGTTGTCCTAAGTGATCATTCAAGCACCCTTTCTCTGACACTCCGCTCGCCCCCCCGATACCTCTTCCTTAACCTTAAGTAAAAGTTAAAAAAAAGTCTGTCACTCAATTGCCACTTTCACAGTTTTTTATCACATCTGCACACCATTCTATTGTTATTCACTGAATATTTTTTCTTTAAGCCTACCAAATTAACTCCTTTTTTACTAAGCCTTGTCCCAAGCAAATCCCACTAAATACTTAAATAGATAATAAATTTACCTATCAAATAAAAAATGTTTCGGCTGTCACCCACTAAAATAACTCTGTGGGCCTCCGGCAGTGCATGGGCCCCCTTGAAGGAGCGCTGAGCTGGGTGCAGTCAGCAGTGGTCTCAAACCCACGCCAGGGCCCTTGAGCACTGCTGCTCCAGTCTGAGTGCCCGGGCACAAAGCTTTCTGCTTTTGAACACTCCCATAGCCCTCTGACAGACAGAAGATGCAGGGAACGCCTCTCTGCACTCAGGTGGGGAATCCCTTCCTCCCACTGAGGTGGAGGGAGGTCCCACTGATGCATTCAACAACTTGCTCCCCTTTCAAACCAGAAACTTCCACAGCGAAACCCGCTTTTCATGCCTGATGAATGGAGAGGCAGACCTCTTTTCGCTGTGCTTGGAAGGTCTAATTTGTTACTGAGACCCATTTTTACTACTTCTAGGTACTTACTTTCTGCCCCAACATTCCAGGAAGTCCTGGGAAACCCTGTGAAGAGAACAACAAACACAGTGACTGCCTCTGAAATAATGCTTGAAAGCGTTGAGGAAGAGTTTGGTCAGCTCTTCAATATAAAGTCCTGTCAGCCAGCCAGCCAGTCAGCCAGTCGGTCAGTCAACCAGTCGGTCAGTCAGCCAGCCAGCCAGCCAGTCAGTCAGATAGCCAGTCAGTCAGACAGACAACCAGTCAGTCAGACAGCCAGTCAGAGAGCCAGCCAGCCAGCCAGCCAGCCATCAGCCAGTTGGTCAGCCAGCCAGTCAGCTAGCCAGTGAGTCAGACAGACAGACAGACAGACAGTCAGCCAGTCGGTCAGTCAGCCAGTCAGTCAGTCAATGTCAGCCAGCCAGCCAGTCAGCCAGTCGGTCAGTCAGCCAGTCAGTCAGTTGGTCAATCAGTCAGCCAGTCAGTCAGTCAGACAAACAGCCAGTCAGCCAGTCAGCCAGCCAGCTAGTCAGTCAGAGGGTCAGCCAGTTAGTTAGTCATTCTGACAGTCAGTCAGTCAGTCAATCAGTCAGTCAGCCATTCATTCATTCATTCATTCAGCCAGTCAGCCTGCAAGATGGGGGTGGGCAGGGGCTGCCACTTCTGTAGAAGTTTATCATTTTTATGCAATGCCCATTACCTTTTCTCCTTTGGGACCCAAGTCACCCCTTTCACCTCTGGATCCCTAGGAGGAAACCACAGGAGAGAGTCAATGAGTTAACCCCATTGTGGGGGAGGGGGAACTGGAGCATTTCAAACTGAAAGCTCCATAGGTCAGCACCCTCACTTCCCAGGCAAAGAAACAGGCTCGGAGGTTAGGAGACTGACCCAGGGAAGGCATGCTTTGTGAGATAAACTTCTATTTTGACCTTAAAGACCTCTACACTAATAAAGGACAACCCACAGAAAATTCCGGGTCCCAGATTTTCTCTTATCCTCTAGGAAATTTGTCCCCAGGGTCTGGCTGGGTTTTTTGGGTTTTGCTCCGTTTTTGACAGACAAGAAGGTAGTGTGGTAGAAGCTTGCTCTAAGAACACATCTGCCATTTTTGTGCAGCACCCCATGTCAGCTGTGCTCACGCTGCACCTGGCACAACTTTCAGCTCTCACTGCCCCGCCTGAGGGGCTTCCACCTCCTCCGGGAGCTCCTCCCTAACCCACTTGCCCTGGCTAGGAGGCCCCTCACTCCTGTCTCGCAGCCCCCTGACAAAGGACAGGGTAATATCTAGGAGTGGTGGCTGCAGTCGCTGACTAAAGAGACCCCTGGGCCCATCCTCTGCTCATCACTGACCCCAGACCCAACAGCCCAGACCAGGCTCTGGGAAGCCATCAGAGGCAAGCACCAACCTTTTCCCCTCTGGATCCAGGGTAGCCCTAAAAGAAAGCAGAAGGTGAGTTGACAATCCGCCCTGTAGGACCTTTGGGTTTGGTGCAAGAGTGGAAGCCATCCCTGTATGTGGTGGTGAGATGTGTCTCCACATTGGGCTGCACATTTTTTTGGGGGGTGGGGGAGTTGCAGCAGTAAATACAAAGATGTCCCTGAGGGCTGTGTTTAAACCAGGCCTAAAAAGAACACTGCTTTTCTTACTCTCCCAAAGGCCCAAACAAAGGTTTCCATCTGCTTTGTTGTCCAGGGGCTTGACCCTCGCTGCCCAAGATAACGGCGGGAATGGCATCCCTCTGCCCCTGTGACAATCCCCAGCCCAGGATGGCAGCCACACAGTCCCCACTTTATAGACATCAGCTGCTCCAGAACCTTAGTAAGAAGACCTGGAAAAATCTATCTGGACCAACACACTGACCTTGGAGCCCATTGGTCCTCTTGACCCTGGCAAGCCCATCATCCCCAGGTCACCTTTTTCACCCTGTGGGAATCAGAAGAAGGGGGAAAAAAGACCTACAGTGACATTTCCTAGAGAAACGGAACCAGGAAAGGCGTGGGCAAGATCAGGATAGAACTGGGGACATTGGGGCTGGCCTGTGAATCTGAGGAACCCAAATCCTCCCTTGCTGGCTCCCAGGGGCCCAAGACTGCAGACTCCACACTTCATTCTGGTATTTGACATGAAACATAGAATGAAATTGTCCAAGGTAGAGCAGGTCTTCAAACTAAATGCTCACTAACATGTTGTAAATTCACAGATGTTTGATCTTTTCCCAGAGAAGGCTGGGAAAGGGAGGGGGAGAGAGCATGCAGGCACTGGGGCCTCAAAGGGCAAGGTATCCGCACCCCCAAAAAACTACATCTGCTCTACTCTTTGCATAGTGAGGGCCTTTCTGATGTTTCCATATACTCTTACCCTACGTTTGCAGCCAAGCAGAGTGAACATCAGCCTCTGGGTGTATACTACGGAGGCAGGGGACTAGGATTCATGAGTGGGATCTGTTACCCCTCAGAATGGTTTACAGTTGGAACTTTCAGTGCCCTTTGTGCTGAAAAACTTTAACCAGCGCTAAACAGTAGAAATATAAGGTGAACCACATGCTTAATATTAAACTTTTTTTAGAAGTCACATTAAAAGTAAAACTAAACAGATGGAATTAACTTTAACAACATATTTTATTTACTCTAATTAATTTAATCTAATTATCATTTTAAACATTCCATCAATGTAAAAATTATTCATGAGACGTTTACATTCCATTTTTCATAATAAATATTTGAAATCTGTTGTGTATTTTACATTTAAATTACATCTCAATTCAGGTGCTAAACTTTCATCTAAAATACTTGATCTGTATTTAGATTTCAAAAAATTTATAGTTAAAAAAGCAGATTCACATACTCAATTTACTCCAAAATACTTATATATTTTCAACTAACTGAATTGAGTACAGGTTTTTAAATTCAAACTTAAATTCATTAAAATTAAATATTCAGTTCCTCAGTGGCACTAGGCATGTTTCAAGGGTTCAGTAGCCACATGTGGCTAGTGGCTGCCCTATTGGACGGCTCAGCTCTATACAGTGGATTTTTAAAGAAATATCCTTGGGACTTTTCCTAAGAGGACTGGGAACAATTTTCTATTCTCAGAATAAATACAGCCAATAAGTGAGTCAGAGCAGACAGTGACATTCACCTGATCACCCCTGACTTCTGCAGGTCAAAGTTCTGAGTCGTGGCCTCTGCACCCAATAGTCTATGACCAAAGTGTGTAAAAAGGCGTGGGTGTGGATGTATTAGCTTTTCCTAACCTGTCTGAGGACGGGGATTTCACCAGCATTTGGCAATCCCTCTGTGAATATAGGATTTCCGTTGTTCCAGCCCCCAACTCTCATGCCCTCACCCTCCACCCCCTGCCCAGTTAGCATGACAGGCCAACAGCTTTCCAGACACAAGCCCCTCTTGCGTCATATCAGGGAACCAAAGAATTGCACACTAACTCTCAGGACAAAGGAGGACAGGGCACCTGGGAAAGAGGCGGCAGCCCCTCGTTTCTCCTCCCACAGAAGTTGAGCTGTGGGACTGATCAAGGTCTTGCAGTCCAAGCAAAGGAGGAAGTGTTTAGGGACCTCGGGTCAGTCCTCAGGCTCTCTCCTTCCTCCCCATCTGGAGGAAGTGAGTTTCACCGACTATGTGCCAGGGGCCTGGGGAGCCGCCGTCTTCTCCCCTCCAGTTCTGATGCCACTGGAGCCCTGAGAGCTGCCACACTTACCCTGGGGCCTTCAGGGCCGGGCCAGCCAACACGCCCAGGCATGCCAGGAACACCTGGGGGGCCAGGTCTGCCCTTCAAAGACAGAGAACAAAAGTCAGGACAGCTGGGTTTGTTTCCCTCCCTCTAAAAACACAGATTTGTCTCTGTGGCCTAGAGGGGAGTATGGGGCCTCCAAGCATGGCCCCAGGACCCTCATCCCCACCCTCCAAAGACTGATGGCCTAGAAAGTTGGGCTATTCGGGTATGATTTAAAGCCCTTGGTGTCACATTATGTCGACACACAGGATTGTTCTATTCAAGAAATGGAAGGTGGTAGGGAAGGGATTATAAACTTCTTGGTTCTTCGATCATTATCATGTCTATCCATTCACCCAAATGTCCCCTGCATTCCCATAGGTTTTCCCCAAGGAGGCAGTGTAGGAGGGGAGAGGATTATGTTTGGAGAACAGCAGCAGATGTTGGGGGTACTCCCTCAAGGTCTATCCCCCCTGCTCAGCATGCCCATTTCCCAGGGGCTACCTTCCTTGCTGTACCAACACATTCCTTCTTACAACCTGCAAGTGTGGGTTTTCCTGGGGCAATTGGAGCTGCCCAGCAATTATGTACCTCCCCTTCCTGCAGCCAACAGCCCAGCCCCCTTACATCAAGGTAAGGCAGGACAAATTCTCTGGTGCCGTTCACACTCCAGAGCTCCCCTAGGGATCAGACTGAAGTTGGATGTCATCTGATACCAGCCCATGCTGGGTTTCTTTCCCTGTCCCGTCTGGGTCTCCCCTCCCCTCAGGCTCCTCTGGAGAGAGCTCCCTTAATCATTAATTCACTTGCACATGGCATGGACCATCTCTATCTCTGTGTCTAGGGAACCCAACATAAGCCAAGGAGCTATGGAGGAGTAAGCCCTGCAAGAGAGCATGGGAGCAGCAACTTGGGGTATATGTTGACCTCTGCACCCACTGGCTAATTTCAGTTAGCCAAGCTGGAGATGTGGAAGGCTCAGCCCCTACCCAGACATCACAGGCGCTGGCATGTGTACTAGTTCCTGCTCCTGCCTTCCTCATCCACGGCAGACATCACCAATCAATTACGGCCCTTGTTAGTCCTGAGTATGGAGACGATGGCAGAATCCTCCCCGCCCAGCACTTCAGTCGACCGCTGGGCCTTGACTGGAGTGGTCAGCTGTGCCTTAAAGGGTTGGAACTTTGCCTTACAAAGGTCTGTTTGAGGCTCTTATTGATAGTGAAAGTATTTGAATAAAACATTTAACTGGGAAAGTAGTAATTTATATTTAGAACAAGAGGCATCTTTCTTGGCCAAAGTTTTGAACCTTCTTCTATATCACCAAGACCTACAATTTCAGTGCCAGCATCCATTGACTACAGCAAGCGGCAGGGGGTTTACTCCTTCCTGACACTAATGAGAACCTTAATAACATGTGTTTGGTTTACTGAGTCCCCGTGACCTGAAGTAACTCCCATTTATTTCAGCTGGGCCTTAAAGCAAAGCCATTTGTTTCTGTCTGACACTTTATTCCACTTTAATCAAATCGACAGTGAGAGTCATTTGGTGCCACTGGCTGAGGCCTTGGAGGGTTTCTCTGATGGATGGCAGGATGGGGTGGTGTGAGGCTGGGGAAAATCTGGCCAGGCTTGGCAGCCTCTGGCAGAAGTCCGAATGCCAGTCACTACTGTCCTCATCAGGATGGCAGTGCTGTCATCAGCCATCTGGGTATCAGGGCCACGGAGGTGCGCAGCTGGTCCCCACCCCTAGGAGTGCACATACTCATGCACACCGAGCGCAGCTGCCTGCGTAATGCTGACAGACAGCATGGACCATACCTTCCTTCCCGGTCGGCCAAGCTCCCCCTGTGGATGGAGAAGACAGGTAGCAGAGGCTGCTTTGGAGGAAAAGTTCTGGAATCAGAGGGCTTAGCAGGGCTGATGAGCGGGCATGCCCATGTGGCTTGGTCACCTGGCAGTTCACAGCACCCCCGCCACGTCAGGGGGCCTCCCCCCAGATGCACCGGCGGGGTCCGTCCACACCCCCCCCGCCACGTCAGGGGGCCTCCCCCCAGATGCACCGGCGGGGTCCCACACCTTCAGCAGCCCAGTCACCTGGGAGCCCATCCTCACACACTAAGGCAGGATTAGCACGTGCTTTGAAATCTGAACTTGAAAACCCTCAGTGGTGCCCCCAGAAAACAGGCTGGAACTACCAAGGAGAGGTGGGGTGAAGATACAGGTGGTTCGTACCTTTTCTCCCTTTGGTCCTGTCTTGCCGGGAAGCCCAGGCGGGCCCTACATGATCAAGATAAGAAGTGAAGAAAGCATGCATGAGCCCAAGGCAGGCTGGTGGGAGGAAACCAAGGCCAGGAGGGGCTCCTGGGGCCCTAGCTCCTCAGCAGCCTCGTTCTCTCTGCAGATTAAGGGCTCCAGGCACGGCAGGAAGGACACTCCACACTCTCCAGCCCAGGCCCCTCCTCCCTAGGCCCCCTCTTCTTGCTTTCTCTAGGCTGTTTCCAGCAGCACCATTATTGTAATTCATGGTCACACACCTACTCTCTGTGATTTTCATTTTCTCCCTGGAATTCTTGGGTTGCCCGAAACATCCTGAGTGCTTGGTGAGAGCAGCGAAAGACACGTGAAGATATGCTATTTGCTGACAACGAGATGCTGCACCACCTCTCACGTCTTTTCAGCTGCTCTTACCAAGTTTCCCCGGGGCCCAGACAAGATGGAAGTTAGGCTTTGCTCGCAGGAGCAGCTGACACAGAAATTCCCATGGTGGATCTATGGGTACCAGGTACAGCAAAAGTCTTCTGTTTTAAGATGTGAAGAGTGCGTTTTTGTCCCACGGCCCGGCCACGGGAACGGGGCTGAATCCAGCTCAGGGACTCCAGGGCCCGTCACACTAAAGCTTGACACCCCCTATGGCAGGACGCAGCTGCCTTCAGCGTACGCGCCTATGAGATGCTCAGTTGGCCAACTGTCTTCCAAGCTCCCCAGGACAGCAGAGAGGAATCCACCGAAACCCCCAGGCCACCATTTCATCCCCAAGATCTGCAGGTGAGCACGCCTCACGCAAAACCTGTCTGAAACAGGATTTCTATGAGGCTTGTCCAGATGACCAACAACCCCTCAGCCAGGGGTTTCTAAGCCTCTCTGCACATTAGAAACCCCTGGGGATCTTTTAAAATTCCCGAGGGACACAGGCATCCCAGGGGATTCTAATGTGCAGAAAAGTTTGGGAACCACTACCTTTGGTTTATTCTCCTGTTTCAGGGATGGGAGGAGGGAGAGTTTCAGTTCCATTCCTTTTTCTTTTCCGAGCCTCAGTTTTTCCATTTTCTTGAAATGGACGAGAACTATGAATCAGGCCGCTGTGCTCTCCCTAGCTCAGCGCTTCCCAAACTTTGATGTGGACTGATTTCCTCCGGAGGGTCTTGTTAAAATGCAGATTCTGGTTGAAGGGTGTGGGATGGAGGAGGGGAGGGTGACATTCTGCGTTTCCAGCAAGTTCCCAGGTGACGCCGGTGTTGCTGGTCCTCACACTGTGTCCCCAGAGTCGGCAGCACAGCCTCGGAGTGACACACGTGGGATTGCACGAGGTTGGAGGCATACACATGGGGCTGGAGACCGCAGTCTGGGGGCAGCAGGGACCCCCTTCTCATGGGTTCACTGTGGGTTCTGAAACCGAGCGGGGCCTGTGGCAGTCCCAGGCACGGAGGCCTTTTTTTGTCCCCTGTTTCTTTTTTTTTTAACATCTTCATTGGAGTATAATTGCTTTACAATGGTGTGTTCATTTCTGCTGTATAACAAAGTGAATCAGTTATACATATACATATATCCCCATATCCCCTCCCTCTTGCAGCTCCTTCCCTCCCACCCTCCCTATCCCACCCCTTAGGTGGTCACAAAGCACCGAGCTGATCTCCCTGTGCTATGCGGCTGCTTCCCACTAGCAATCTATTTTACGTTTGGTAGTGTATATATGTCCACGCCACTCTCTCACTTTGTCACAGCTTACCCTTCCCCCTCCCTGTGTCCTTAAGTCCATTCTCTATGTCTGCGTCTTTATTTCTGTCCTGCCCCTAGGTTCTTCAGAACCTTTTTTTTTTTTTTTTTTAGATTCCATATATATGTGTTAGCATACAGTGTTTGTTTTTCTCCTTCTGACTTACTTCACTCTGTATGACAGACTCTAGGTCCATCCACCTCGCTACAAATAACTCAATTTCGTTTCTTTTTATGGCTGAGTAATATTCCATTGTATATATGTGCCACATCTTTATCCATTCATCTTTCGATGGACACTTAGGTTGTTTCCATGTCCTGGCTATTGTAAACAGAGCTGCAGTGAACATTGTGGTACATGACTCTTTTCAAATTATGGTGTTCTCAGGGTATATGCCCTGAGTGGGATTGCTGGGTTGCATGGTAGTTCTATTTTTAGTTTTTTAAGGAACCTCCATACTGTTCTCCATAGTGGCTGTATCAATTTACATTCCCACCAGCAGTGCAAGAGGGTTCCCTTTTCTCCACACCCTCTCCAGCATTTATTGTTTGTAGATTTTTTGATGATGGCCAATCTGACTGGTGTGAGGTGATACCTCATTGTAGCTGTGATTTGCATTTCTCTAACGATTAGTGATATTGAGCATCCTTTCATGTGTTTGTTGGTAATCTGTATATCTTCTCTGGAGAAATGTCTCTTTAGTTCTTCTGCCCATATTTGGATTGGGTTGTTTGTTTCTTTGATATTGAGCTGTGTGAGCTGCTTGTAAATTTTGGAGATTAATCCTTTGTCAGTTGCTTCATTTGCAAATATTTTCTCCCATTCTGAGGGTTGTCTTTTCATCTTGTTTATGGTTTCCTTTGCTGCGCAAAAGCTATTAAGTTTCATTAGGTCCCATTTGTTTATTTTTGTTTTTATTTCCATTTCTCTCGGAAGGGGGTCAAAAAGGATCTTGCTGTGATTTATGTCATAGTGTGTTCTGCCTATGTTTTCCTCTAAGAGCTTTATAGTGTCTGGCTTTACTGTCCCCTGTTTCTTGTAGGCAGGACTCCAGCCTCTATGACCTTCCCTGAGTTCCAAAGGGTGGATTCGAACAAAGGAGGAGCAGCCAGGAGATCACCTGAGGCAAGACTAAAGGGACCAGAGAAGCTCATCAAGATGAGATGAGGTTAAAGGAGGGCAGGCCCTGCTCACACCCTAATCTTGTCAGAGACCCCACCCTTGAACCCCTGTTATAAAACTCTTCATCCAGTCCTCTGGGGTTGGGACACACAGTCTTGAGGGCATTAGCCCGCTGTGTCCCCCTTTGCCTGGCAAAGTAATAAAGCTGTCCTCTTCTATCTCACCCCAAACTCTGTCTCTGAGATTTGATTCAGCACCAGTGCAGGGAGGCTGAGCTTTCAGCATCGTTTCTCATGTGCTATCACTTGCTGTCAGTATGGACTTCAAGGCTGGGAAGATAGAAATCCCCCCAGAGCTGACCCTCGGGTGCCCACCATGCCTTTATGCGGACTCCCCAGCCCCTCTGTGGCAGCTCTGGTCCACCTGTTTTCCTCATTGCATTCAACAAATATTGATGGGGAAGCTCTAACCCCCGGGCACTGGTGTGGGCTGGGCACACAGCATGAGCAAGGTAGACAATGTCCCTGCTCGCAAGACCAGGGGTCAGTTTACTGGTTCTGTAAGAAGCCAGATAGGAAGTATCTTAGGCTTTGGCTCTGATATAGCAATTCTGACACAACTACTCAACTCTACCCGTTAGTGCAAAAGCAGCCAGAGATGATAATATTTAACTACAAAAAAAAGCCAGATTGGACCCCTAGCCATAGTTTGCCAACCCCAGCCATAGAGCTGACATGTTACGGAGGGGAGACCAAGGAGCCTAGGAACAAAAACTAAGAAAACCATAACAACGTGAGAAAACTCTGCCGAGAAAGAAAGTAGGTCATTGCGTGGAGAGTGACGGGGAGGGTACTGCAGGCGGAGTGGCCGAGCAGACGTGTCTGAGGAGGTGGTGGGCACACTGAGTGCTGAGGGACAAAGGAGCTGGCCATAGTGAAAATCAGAAGGCAGAGCGTGCCAAACAGCCGGAGCCACAAGCCTCAGGGCCCTAAGGCTGGAGCAAGCTTCGGGTGCTTGAGGACTCAACAGGTGCACTGTGGCTACATTGAGTGGGCCGTGGTGGTCGTTTGAGCTGATGCAGGAGATAACAGGTCCCCGCGTGTGGGGCTTTGCTTCCAGGGTGAGGAGATTGTCTGGTCTTCTTCCCATGATGGAAAGCCACAGGAGGGGTTCCCCAGGAAGGGTGACATAATTCCTCTTTCCCGTTCCCATGGCAGGCCCAGACCCCAGGCTGAGGGATGTTCCTCCTCGATGGACCCCCTCTCCCAGGCCGGCCAGAGGGGCCAGGAGTCCATGAGACAGGGTCTCTGGAGGGTACTCTTTGTCTGCCTAGAAAATCCTTTCTCTAGCATTTTGCCTGCTTCTCACTCTTACTTGAGCTTTGGTGGGGAGAGGTGAGCTACGTGGTGCCAGTATCTGGGGGCCAAACTGAGCTCAGGGTAACAAGATCCCTGTTACCTCCATTTTTCTGGCCTGAATGCAGGTACCTCTGGGTCCACTGGTGGGGTCACATTGTCATCAAATGTTTCTCTGGTGATAACTATAATAATAACCACACCCATTATCACCACTTTGGGGGGTGCCCAAGCGACCAAGCAGCTCACTTGGTCACCCCCCAAATCCAGTACTGCAAGGGAAGTTATTATCCCCATTGTGTGGAGGAGGACGTCAAGGCTGGGAGGCAGAATCCCCAGAGATGAACCAGTGTTCTGCCCATGTGGTTCCTCCAGGGCAGGAAGACAACCCCATGTCACCTGAAAAGGGGCAGCTCTGCCCAGAGGGCATCCCTGCTCTGAACAGAGGACAGCGAGGTAGGGCCTGGGGGATGCACCGACCTGGGGCCCCGGAGGCCCGGGGGAGCTGAGCGACCCTTGCGCGCATGGGGGCCGTGTGGTCTCCAGTTCCAGGACGAGATTCTTCATGTCTGGGGAGAGAAGCTTCAAGGCAAAGCAACACAGGTTACAGGTCAGACTTGGGGGACAGAAGAATGGTTACCTCCTGGACACAGACCTATTCTATAGCCCAGCCCCTGAGGCTGGCATTTCCCTGACACCCCAGTGGGCGTCTCAAGAAGGCTACCTCTGGGTTCCCAGTTTCCATTCTCTCATCTGCTCTGAGACGAACCTGGTTTGAATGGATTACAGAGAGATAATGACCTCTCGGATGGAGTTAGGAAGCTCACTCAGGGGCCTTTTATCCAATGTCCAGGACGGCACCGTCCAAGAGAAATAAAATGTGAGCCACCAATGCGAGACACCTATATAGTTCAAAATTTCCTGGTAGCCACATAAAAAAGGTAAAAGGAAACAAGTGAAATTAATTTTAATAAGTATTTTATCTTACCCAATATATCCCAAGTATTATTATTTCAATGTAAAAAAATTACTGAGATATTTTACATTCTTATAAAATGCATCCAATGTGTATTTTACACTCAGCACATCTCAACTGGAGCTGGTCACATAGGGCCAGTGGTTACTGTACTGGAGGGTACAGGTCTAAGAGGTTCTGGAAAGATCTGAGCATCTCAAATCCCTGAAATGCCCTGGCCAGCTGTCTTCTAGGTCAGCTTCTCCGACCCTGCTCTTTCCTCACCTTTTCCTCTCTCCCCACTTCCGTTCCCTCTCACAGGACTGTTTCCTGTGTCACCTCATGGATATGGTGTAAGTTCAATCCGGGCTGTGGAAGGGAATTTCACAAGCACTTGGGGAGAAGAAAGACAGAAGGTAAAATTCCATGTCCAAGCCACTGATAGGAGCCCAGAAAGTTATAAATTCACCTCAATGTTTTTGAGAGGACGGGACCCCTTGCCAAGTCCAATTCCCCGCTGAGAAGCATTTCTCTCCATCACTTGTTTAAGGCGGTGGGAGAACAGACACGTACCAGAAACAGCTAAATGTCCAATCTGGGCTGCACCTGCCACATGAGGGCAGAGAGCTGGATCCCTCCGGACAGACTCCCACTGAGCAGTGGTGGAGAAGGTGAGCTGTGTGGTGGCCCTGGGGCCTGCATTTCTGCTCTCTCATGAGCCCAAAGCTACTCACCGGACTTCGGCTCCCTCTGAAGAACGGTGGTGGGAACAGAGGGGGTGGTGGGGGGGTTAGCAGGCAGCATGCTCTGTGGCCGCCACGCTTCTTCTGATCCAGGCCGGGAAGGGCTGTTCAGAGAAAACAATGCTCATTAGCGTGGGGTCAGTGCTAGGGCCTCTGGGTGTCCACCACGCCCGGGAAGACTACGGCTCATTTCCGAGTCTCATTTCCAGGCTGTTGGGTGTGAGCGCACCTCCTGCCTGTACCGGACCTAGCCCTCCCCTGCTTTCACTGGATAAATGAACAGATGGTGCGGCCACTGCGACCATCACGAGGTCCAGGGCTGCTTCTCCAGACACTGACTGGTCACTCTGTAGATGGGACAAGGAATGCCAAGTTCAAACTTACTCACACGGTGCCCCCAACAGATGGGGAGAAGGCAGTGTCTGTTAATACCCTTGATGTTGTGCCCAGAAGGAACCGTTCTGAAGGGGGAGGCAGCAGGGCTGGGGGCAGTGCTGATCAGACTCAGAGCCAGGATTTCAAACATAGATTTGACTCCAGACTCTACACAGACATTCGAGGTCACCCATGCTCACTGGAGAGCTAAGGTTTAAAGTCTCCAGACACAGGTGTGAGGAGATGAAGAGAGGGCCCTGGATACTTACAGCTTCCTTGTCACATGCCTGTGTTCAATGTTAGTACATGTTCAGTGTTGAAGTGTACCTGGCAGGAAGGACACGGATCCCAAGTGTACAGCCCACTGGATTCCTGCAAAGGGGACACACCCTAGAAGCCAGCACCTGGGTGGAGACACAGAACTCCCTGGCCTCTAGAAGCCCTTTCAGCTCCCGTCCAGTCTCTGCACTGCTCCCTGTACACCACCCTGGCTGCTAGCCCTGGGGAGTCCTTGTGCTTGTATTTGAACTTTATATGAACATGAATTCTTGTGTCCTTCTTTTGCTTTACACAGTGTCTGTGAGGGGCTTCCTGGTCATTGCTTGTCGTTGTTATGCTGCTGAATAGGGTTCCTGTTCAGGCTCATGCATTGGCTGGTGGGAGTGGAAATTGCTTCAATCTCTTTGGAAAACTCCCGTCATCGTCTACTAAAGCTGAATATAGGCACATACGACAGCTCGGCAACTCACTCCTAGGTGTTTACCGATGGAAAAGTGAGTACCTGTTCACCCAACACACGTACTAGAACATTCATAGCAGTGAGATCCATAATCACCCAAAGCTGTAATTTTCCAGCTCCCAGTTTTGGTCCCGTGATGGTACCTCCAGCTCTACCCTTTCTCCAAACCTCTGATCTCACAGAACATGGGTGGGTTTCCCCCCACCCCCTGCACTCCTCTTGCCCTGTACCCAGTTTTCAGTCTTGTCTCCCAGGGGACAGTGCTAGCCTTCTCTTTCCACCCTGGGATCCAGGACTTGCCTCACACATCAGGCAACCAGCAGGTGCTCCCCAGAAGGCACCCGGTGTGGGGCGGCTTGTGTCAGCTCCAGCGCCCCGGGAATCACCGCCCTGAGCACACCCACACCCTCACACCCAGCAGAGGAGCATCCACCGGCAGGGTCAATGGTCCTCAGCACCCTCAGACGCAATGCGCCCATTGGTAAGGAATATTTTTAAAGACCCCTTTGTTATCCTAAAATGAAATTCATAAATAATACAACATACCTATACAATTAAAAAATCAATATAATGCTCTGAATATAATATAAAAGAGAACTCTCAGAAAAGTGATTTATGATATAAAAATGCATATTTTGACTATAAGTGCTCAGGTACTAGCACATCAGGAAACATGATGATGTAGTTAGATGCTTGCACCTATATGTGAAACCGCAGTGAATGTAACAGCTATGAACACAAGGTGCAGTAGAGGCAACACAAATGCTTCAAGTGACGTGCCCGCTGTGCAATGTGATTTTCTCAAATGATGAAAAACACTGGGTAAAATCCCAACCAAACAAAGCTCAGTCATTACTCAGCAGTTGTAGTCTCAGAAAACTCAGTTTCATACTACAACCGTTCAACAAATTTGATGTCAAAGAGAATTAGTTTCTAGGATGAGACAATTATACAGGGTATGTATCATCTATGTAACATCTCAGAGTCATGTGGGACATGGAACCACTCTTCATGTATGATTCTGTCCCACTCTTTGCGGGAAACCTCTCACCTCAGCCACTGTGACAACTGAAAATGAAAATTTCCAACGTGGCCCCACGAAACACTCTCTGACATAAATTGTAGCAATGTTTTCTTAGGTCAGTCTCCCAAGGCAATAGAAATAAAAGCAAAAATAAACAAATGGGACTTAATCAAACTAATAAGCTTTTGCACAGCAAAGGAAACCATAAGCAAAACAAAAAGACAACCTACAGAACGGGAGAAAATATTTGCAAATGATGCAACCAACTAGGGATTAATTTCCAAAATACACAAACAATTCATACAGCTCAACAACAAAAAAACAAACAACCCAATCAAAAAATGGGCAGAAGACCTAAATAGACATTTCTCCAAAGAAGACATCCAGATGGCCAATAGGCACATGAGAAGATGCTCAACATCACTACTTATTAGAGAAATGCAAATCAAAACTACAATGAGGCACCATTTCACACCAGTCAGAATGACCATCATCAAAAAGTCTACAGATAACAAATGCTGGAGAGGGTGTGGAGAAAAGGGAACCCTCCTACACTGTTGGTGGGAATGTAAATGTGTACAGCCACTACGGAGAACAGTATGGAGTTTCCTTAAAAAGCTAAAAATAGAGCTACCATGATATCTAGCAATCCCACTCCTGGGTATATACCTAGATAAAACTCTAATTCAAAAAGATACATGCACCCCTACGTTCATCGCAGCACTATTTACAATTGCCAAGACATGGAAGCAACGTAAATGTCCACTGATGGATGGATAAAGAAGATGTGGTACATACATACAATGGAATACTACTCGGCCATAAAAGAGAATGAAATAATGCCATCTGCAGCAACATGGATGGACATAGAGATTATCATACTAAGTGACGTAAGTCAGAGTAAGACAGATATATCACTTATATGTGGAATCTAAAAAAATGATACAAGTGAACTTATTTACAAAACAGAAACAGACTCACAGACATAGAAAACAAATTTATGGTTACCAAAGAGGAAAGATGGGGGAGGGATAAATTAGGAGGCTGGGATTAGCAGATACAAACTACTATATATGAAGTGGATAAACAACAAGTTCCTTCTGTATAGCACAGGAAACTATATTCAATATCCTGTAATAAACCATAATAGAAAAGAATCTGATATATATATGTATATATCAGATATATATATATGAATGTATATTCATATTCATATATATATATGAATCACTTTGCTGTATACCAAAAACTAACACAACTTTGTAATTCAATAAAATACTTCACCAAAAATAAAAAAATAGCAAACAAACAAAATAAAACAAAATGGCCCCATTAGAAACTGTTGGCTTATCCCACGTTTGGAGACTGGCTTGGTCATGAACAGTCCAAAGAATCTGGTTCCCACACAAAAGCAGCATCTGCCCCAGGCCAGGTAAGTTAACAAGGAACTGAGGGAATTCAGAGAAGCAAGGAAGAGGTGATGACCAGCTGGGAGGGACATGGGAGCCTTTCTGGAAAAGGTGGCATTCCT